CCCCCCCTTCCATCATCCCTCTATTCCTTGTCTACTTCTCTCTCCCGTATTCACTCCGTCTTCACCGTCCTTCCCCCTTGCCCCGTCGTCCTCGGCTTCCCTCCTCCTCCTCCTCCCCGATCTCTTTGTTGTGCCGCTTCCTCCCTTCTCCCGACCTCGTCCTGTCTCCTGCGCCTCCTGCCTCTTTCTTTCCGTTTCTGTCGCTATTTCCTTTCCCTTTTCTCTTCTTGTCCCGTTGATTCCTTCATTGTTCGTCTTTCTCCTCGCTGTCGGTCTTCTCGCTCATCTTTGCTCTTCCCTCTCCCTGTCAGTTTTTTCTCATCCCGCCCATCTGCTCCCATTTCGTCTGCCAGCCCCTTCGCCTGCCCCTCCCTTCGTTATACCTTTGCCTGCTGTCCTCCGGTCTGTCCTCTTTTTCCGCGTACTTTGCCCCTTCCTTCTACCAGCCGCTGTGCGTCCCCTCCTACCTCGTCTCTCTCCCCTCTCTTTTTCACCTTCTGCTCGTCTGTCCCCCTTACTCTTTTTCTCCTTGTGGTCGTCTCTCCCCCTTCTCATGGTCGCTTCCATTTGTTCCGATCCCCTTCCACTTGCGTATGTGCACGTTCTCCCTCAGTGGATCCCCTCCTGTCGTCGTTCTTTCCTGTCTGTGCGTCGGCTAAATCTTCTGCCTTCCTTTTCCCCCTCACTTTCCTCCTGCCCTTCTTCTCTGCTCCCCTTTTTCCCTCCATTTACGGGCTGCTCTCTCGTCCTCTATTCTCTGTAATTCTGGCAGGCCCCGTCGTGGCTCTCTCCTTCCTCCTCACTCTCCTCCTGTTGCCCTGCTTTTCTCTCTTCTTGCTTGTGTCACTTGGAAAAATTCTTCGTCGTCTATTGCCTTCCAGGTGTTACTTGAAACGTTTATCGTTTGTTTGGCTATTCAGTACTCGTATACACGTTTGATTCCCTGTATTGCTTTTTTTTGCAGGTGCAAGTCGGAGGCTCCCCCATCTACAAGATCGACAGAAAGTTAGGGAAGGGCGGCTTTGGCCAAGTGTATGTCGGTCGAAGAACCTCTGGTGGTACCGAGAGGACCGGTCCTAATGCTGTAGAGGTGAGCGGATCAGACACATTGACCTCGCTGTCCTTTCATCTTTGATGCCGTCTAGGAAACGCTGTCGAAGGGGGGATGCGGATGCGCGACGGTGACTGGATCGACGGTGAATGAGAGGGCAAAATTGACAGTTGATGTCATGATACGGACTGTGAATGAAAGCAAAGATAGATGAGCGAGGAGAGCGGGAAATCCGGTTGGTGTTCAATACACTCCCGGCGAAAAAAAAAGCTTTGCAGGCGACGAAGAATGATTGCGAATGAGAAGAGAAGAACGCGAAATCCCGTGGTGCTCTTTTTTTTTTTTTTTTTTTTTTTTTTTTTGTTTTTTTTATCTTTGGGTTGGAGAAAATAACTTTAGTCCTTGATAAGTATGTGTTGCATTATTTTAGGAGGTTGGAATGAAGTGACTTTTACGTGATTGACAAAAACGAAGCCTCCTCCGTAGATCTTCTTATGGATCTTACGGCTCGCGTTCAGATCTGTCGCACGTGGCGGCTACTCCTTTTTTTTTTTTTGTTTTTTTTTTTTTTTTTTTTTTTTTTTTTTTTTTTTTTTTTTTTTTTGGTGTTCTAGATTCTCTGGCGGGGAAAAAAAAGAAGAAACAAAGCCGCCATGCAAATAAGAGGATGGTGAACGAGAAGAAGAAGCAGGAACATCGATCGTTATGTTACGACTCCCAGCGGAAAAGAAATTGGTAATTGACAATAGAAAATGACGAGAGAGAAGAGCGGGAAAAACGGTGGCTTAGGGCCTTCACTCCACTACTCTCCACATGCACAGAAGACAAAGAATTTGGCAATGTATCTTTCCACGTTGTAGTGGAGGAATCAGTCTCATTTTGCACATTTGTAGAGTAGTGGAGCGAGGCCCTTATAGACTCCCCAGCGAACGAAAAAATTGCCAGTTGGCTTTATGCAATGCATGGTTAGGCCGTGCACCGTATGGACATCAAGACACAGTGTCTGAACTCTTCAAATAGGGTTGGCACCCTTCGGCGAAACCAAAAGAAGAAAGGAAAAGATTGCTACCCGTCTTCACCCGCGAATAGAACGCCCGGTCATTATAGCCGTATTTGGGGGCAACTTTCAGACCAGATGCACAGCTATAATGACCGGGCGCTCTATTCGGGTAAAGACGGTAGTTGGCAAACGAAGGCGGGAAAGCCGAAGCTTTATACTGTGAATGAAAAAAGCAGCTTTGCCGGTCAACAAAGGTGAAGGTCTATGTCGTTGAGAAGTAGAGAGTCTGAATGGCTGCGCACGGGACACGGTTTTGGTCGTCTAATCGCCAGTAGATTGGCTTTCTTGTCTCCTTTGGGCTCTCGCTACCCATGCTTTCTTTGTTCTTCAGAAGCTTTGGATGTCTTCTGTACCTGGTATTCCCGATTGCAAGGGTTATCATAAGAAAGGTACTCTGCCCTCTGCTGCCTGAACGTCGATGTTTTGTTGCTTGCCATTGATCTGGTTCCAACACGGCTCGCCCTGCACTATTGATGTCATTTCGAAACTGTTCCAGATCGAATCTGTTCCAGAACGGCCGTTGAGTTTTCTGACCCCAGTTCGCATATAGAGGATTCTTAGGTTTGCTTTTTGTCTGGCGTGCAGGTGGCGCTGAAGTTTGAACATAGACTGAGCAAAGGTTGCAACTATGGTCCGCCTTGCGAGTGGCAAGTGTATAGGTAATTTTCTCTTTACCGATCCATCTTCAATTCGTCTCTCCCTTGTGAGTGACACATAACATAAACTTCCAACGCTGCACACACACACACACACACACACTTACACACACACTTAACACACACACTTACACACACACTTACACACACAGAGAGAGAGAGAGAGAGAGAGAGAGAGAGAGAGAGAGAGAGAGAGAGAGCAAAGGTTGCAACTATGGTTCGCCTTGCGAGTGTTCAAGTTGAGAGGTAACTAAGGGCATAACTCACACTAGGCTCTCAAAATGTCGAAATCGCAAAATCAGAGGCCAGATGTAGTCCTCGTGAGTGAAGTACTCGATCTGGCCGCTGCTTTTGCGATTTTGAGGTTCTAGTGAGAGTAAACGCTAAACTCTCTAACCGATCCATTCGCAATTCGTCTTTCTTCGAAAATGGTGCACGGAATGAGCATATGGTGGGGTGCACAGTGAAAAGCACCTTGAAGTTGTCTATATCCCTTTCTACTTCGACGCCTTCGTGTTCCATGTGTGTGAGGTTCGTCAGTGAGGTATTTTCCACGTGTGCCGGCTTGCTTGTGTGTGTGCAGGGGGGAAGCGCTCTCTCTAGTGACTGGAGGGTTTTGGGGAAAAACCTATATGGGGAACATTGTGGGTTTGGGAGGCCTGAAGCTCGACGATGATAATAATACTGCTACTTCATCTCTTAAGTTACACCACGTTTCCAAGTGCTGGCATTCAGGCCAAAAGAAAACGACCTTTGCGTGCGTGTGTGTGTGTGTGTGTGTGTGTGTGTGTGTGTGTGAGAGAGAGAGAGAGAGAGAGAGAGAGAGAGAGAGAGAGAGAGAGAGAGAGAGAGGTTCGTGGTGCACTGAGATGATATCTAGCCGTCCTCCAGTCGTAATAGGGTGCTTTTAGGTTGAGGCTATCGGATGAGACAATAACAGCCTGCCGTGAGGAAATATCTAAGTTGTAGAGATACGTGAAGATTGTCCGGCATTATGAACTGATGAGCGAAGTGCAGTCTGTGCAATGTGACCCGATTTATGACCACATCGGAGGGCCCTTTTTTTTGTGTGTGTG